AACACCCTCCTTATCTTTCTGCATAGTACACAGTAGGATTATTTATAGGGAACCAATCACACACACACACATTCAAGAATTAGTATCATGGATGTGACCACTTTGTTATTTGTTCTCACACAGCACTGTTTGGCCTATCTTGCAATTTCTCCAAAGGCAGAAATCAATTATTTTTTTCAATCAATCACTTTCTTTCTATCTCATATTTCCCCAAAGGTAGGACTTAAGGCAGCTTGAAAGCCGGGGCACAGAGAGCATTCCAGTGTTTGGAATGCTCCAGTGCCTGGAATACTTGCTGGATCAAAGGAATTTGGCTTATGTTGGAGATTACTTTTCTGGAGAGAGTCTGTAGTGGGCAAAATACATGAGGGGCAATCTTGATGTCTTTCAGTCCTTTGTGGCTTGATAGGTTTGAAGAGATCCACTCCCTAACATGGCAGATATCTTAAAGGTCCAAAAAGTCTTTACACCTGTACATATAATAGCCCAATGTTGACTAGCCTTTGATAGTATGGCCATCTATAAAATCCTAAATATCTGTGTCAAAATAATATACTGATATACACATAACTGTGGTGGCACAATGGGTTAAATCCTTGTGCTGCTGAACTGCTGAAGGTTGACAGTTCAAATCTATGAGAAAGGGGTCACCTCCCATCTCTCAGCTCCAGCTCCTGCCAACCTAGCAGTTCAAAAACATGCAAATGGGAGTAGATAAATAGGTACCACTTTGGCGAGAAAAGGCAAAGAGATGCTCGCAGCAATCTTGCTGACTTCCCTCCCAGGAGGTGACAACACAGGCTCCTTGGCTTGAAAATAGAGAAAAGCACCTCCCCAGCGTCAGAGATAAGCACCGCCTCCAGAAGCCGGAAATAAAAGGAGAAGCCTCTGCCTTTGTTTGTGTTTGTTTGTCTCATTGTATATGATTGTAAAAGCATTGAATGCTTGCCTATGTGTGTAAATGCTATAATCCACTCACAGTCCCCTAGAGGAGAAGGGTGGAATATAAATAAAATGTATTATTATTATTATCATCATCATCATCATCACTTGGCTGGATTAACTACTCATATAGGAAAAGTTTTTCCTGAGATAGTAATAGGAATTTGCTGAAATAGGAATTGCTATCTCCTGGACATTTTGCTCCCTGTCATACTTAGAATTGTCTCACAATAAAGGGTGTATCCACACTGCATAATCATAGCAGTTTAACACCACATTTACTACCATGACTGAATGTTATAAGGCTTTAAATTTTGTGAAATATTTACCCTTCTCTGTCAGAGAGCTGTGATGCCACAACAAACTAAAAATCCCAGGAGCAGGCCTGATCTTAGTTCTGGGGCCAAGTGGCCCAGGACTGCATTGGCCAGGCTGTCACTTTCACTGTGTTGCTGCCATCATTATTGATTGATTGATTGATTTTGAACATTTATATCCCGTCCTTCTCAACCCCTGAGGGAGGACTCAGGGTGGCTCACAACTGGCAATCATTAGATGCCCATGAACTAACAACTGCAGTGCAGACAGTTTAACATTAAGTAAAACAACATTATAAAAATACATTAAAATATTAACCATTGAAATATTTAAACACAACCAACCAATCATTACCCCTACCCATCCACAGAGCTTCATCTGAACACCTGGTCACTGTAGTTAGCTCTGCCCTTGTGACCATCAAGAAGGAGGTCAATTTTCCCTTTTTCTTATGGGCACCCGATTCTGACATTATAGATGCAACATGCAATTATTATATTATTATTATAATTTGGCTGGAAAAGTCGACCATTAACTACACATATAGGAAAAGCTAGAAATAGTAATAGGAATTTGCTGAAATAGGAATTGCTAGCTCCTCACATGGAGCTTCATGACTAGCTAAAAGAGATGGTGACATGAGTCATCCCCCTTCCCTTTGTTGAACAGGGAGTCGGGACAAATTGTATCCAATCCAGCTGTCCAGACTGCCTCAAAACTCCAGGGTACTCTGGAATTTCAAGAACATTCTTGGCCTCTCCTGACTGCATCTTGGGGTTTAAAGCAAAAAGAAAAAAGAAAAAAGAAAAGGATAATCAATGGAAGTCACTGTGTGCCATGAAGACTGCCACATCTCCAGGCTCTACAAGTAATATTATTTATTTATTGGTTTATTTGTATTCCACCATTTCTCCCTATCTGGGGATGAGAAACAGGTCTTTCTCAGTGGTGGCCCATTGGGTCTGGAACTCCCTCCCCAGTGAAATTAGATCAGCACCTTCAGAAAAACATAAAGACATGACTATGGGACCAAGCCTTCAGGCAGTAAAGTAATGCGGTACAAGAAATGACTAGGATATAAGCACATTTGACAATAGGAATGGCTTCGGATTACGATTATGGATTTTGTGTTTTAATGCTATATTAAGATGTTTTAATTCTATATTTTAATTTTAAATGTCTATGTTCTATGTTTAATATAATTTTAAGGTTTAATTTATAGTTATATGTTTTCGTTTTCATTATTATGCTTCGGTTTCATATATATGTTGGCACTGAATGTTGTCATTACTTGTTGTACACTGCTTTGAGTCCCTTCAGGGGTGAGAAAAGTGGTATATAAATCCAGTAAATAAATAAGGGGACTCAGAGCAGATTCCAGCATATACAGACACAAGGCAAACATTCAATACCTTGAAACAATGAAATACAGACAGCCAGATAAAGGTAAAGGCTTCCCCTTCATCTCCGGCTCTGGGCAGAGGTGCTCATCTCAATTTCTAAGTCTAAGAGCCTGCATTATCCGTAGATACCTCCTAGGTCATGTGGCTGGCATGACTGCATGAAGTGCTGTTTACTTTCCTGCCAAGGCTGTACTTATTGATCTACTCACATTTGCATGTTTTTGAACTGCTAGGTTGGTAGGAGCTGGATCTAAAAGCAGGAGTGCACCCCATCCTGCAGATTCGAACCACCAACCCTCTGGTCAGCAAGTTCAGCAGCTCGACGGTTTAATCCATTGTGCCACCACAACCCCTATCCTACTTTTCATGTTGTCATTTGGATTTTTAAAGAATGAAATATGGACAATTCTCCTGCTACTGACACAGTCCTGGGGAGCCAAGAGTATGAAAAATAGTTATTGATCTATAAAAATAGAAACATCCCTCTCTATAGTTTTCACACTTACTGCTGGATTCATTGAAGTGAAGCTCAAGTTAAACTGCTTGAAGCATTCACCAGTGGAGAGACTTGGCCTTAAAGTATGGTATGTTGAGATTTCCCTGACCTTAAATGTGAAATATACTTGGCAGGTAATCCCACAGTGAAACCTGATAATATCCTGTGGTAAGGCAGAAAGTTTATGCTAGTCCAAATGCTTAATATATAAAACTCTAGAAAGTGTTATATGACTTACATTTGTGGTGTTTAGATATATAAAATTTAAATATAAAATATCTAAAAAGGGACAATGAGGGAACCTTATGGGAAAATACTAGCACTAAACAGCTGGGTTTCAACACTATCTCTGAGCTTCTGAACAAAACTGAATTTATTATTAGAAATTTCTCCTGTGGAACTGCAAGGAATCATTAATACTTGAGATGCTATGAATGCAGTATTCAATTCTAAGACCTTTTCTTAACACCATCGCAAAAAGTCCAATGAAAAAAGAACTCATATTGGTCCAGAATAAAAATTGCAAAGTTGTGAGTTGGTCTCATGGGTCTCCCAGTATCTTACCTGCTCAAAATGACAGAAAGGAAGATTTGATCCCTATATTTAATACTGTTTTTTAGTGTTTTAATGAATTTTTTATTCATTTTAATTATTATTATATTGCTGTGTTATATGTAGTGGTATTGAATTGCTGCCAAATGTAAGCCATCCCGAGTCCCCTTTGGGGGTTGAGAAGGAACGGGATAGAAATACCGGAAATAATGCTTATTTTTATATTTACCTAAACTGACAGCTTGGCACCTTCCAGGTGTTTGGTATTACAAGCACACACACACACCCTGAGTAGTTTTTTGAAATTCCTCTGTTTTGACTGATCTAAATTATAGTCACGTTGCACACTTTCAGCCTCTGGTCCACCTTTTCGGCCACACTATGCTTTTTCAATTTCTCAATCTACTAAGCAGTTTTTTTAAAAAAAAATCTCTACATCTACTCAGCACACTATTTGTTTTTTTCTGTTAGTTAACTCAGTGCCCATTGAATATGCGTTTTTGTATTTGCAAGCTTAACAAGCACTGAATTGTGCTTTTTAACCATGTCCGCTTTTTGACAGAGCCCTGGTCCCAAACCCATTTAATATGCAGGAGATGCCCATCTAAATTACACCAGTCCAAGCAAATAATAAATATTTTGGGATTATGGAGATTATAGTGCAAAATATTTGGAGGGTGCCAGTTTTGCCTAGCCCCTGACATCTTTCTCCAGGTCTATCTAACCATAGTAATTGGAAGTCATTAAGTGGGGTTTACGTAGTTGTTAACTAGATGTAGGCCAAGGACAGGAATCCTTTGGATGTTCCCCTGCAACTTCCAGCAGTCCTAATCAACAGAGCTATTGTTGGGGAGCACTGGGAGTTATAATCCACCAATCATCTGGAGGGCCATGCAATATCCATCTTTGATTTGGGACATTATATTCAAGTAAGTTGCAAGTGTTTCAAGTAAGAGGAAGCTTATATGTGATATATGGGTGGATTCACTGGGTATGTAGGCAGGTTTTAAATTAGCTCAGAGCATCTAATGAAATAGGTGAGCAGTGCGGAAAGTGATTAACCCACTGTGGCTCTAGAGTAAATATCATTAATTAGAATATCTACAGCCTACATCAATTTTATTTTTTGCAATGAGCTTTACACTAGGTTTTTCAAAGCATTTTTTTTAAAAAGCTAATAAATCAAACCCTATCAGCCTAATCATTATATATGAGTATGCTAAACAGTAACAGAATTACTTAAAACACAGATATTCTGATCATGTTTTCAGGCACAGGGATGTACTCACAGCTTTCACAGCGGTTCCCAGTATAACCAGCTAGGCAGGCACACTTGTAGCCACCAATTTTATCCAGGACACAGGTTCCATCATGCAGACATGGAGATGAAGAACAAGCTGGAGGAGGCAAAGCAGAAAATGTTTCTTCTCTAGGGCAGATTTCTTTCCCCATTTCCTCTGTCCTACTGAAATATACATTTTTAGATACAAAATTCAAAAAAACATAAATGGTACAATAGGTATTTATGTTTCTCACAGTGGAAATTTTATTTTTAAAATTCTGTTATTTACCCAGTTTTCCACTCTCCCAAGTTTTCGTATTTACAGTAAGCAATATTTGCTCAAATATTTGCTCATTTGACACTGAAATACAACACCACCTGAGCTCTGCGAGTGCAGCATTTTTCGGAATGAAACACAAAGTGTTTGAGGACCAGGACATCCGTAGGGATCCCAAGGTGCTTGTTTATAAAGCTATTGTCCTCCTAACCCTGCTATATGCCTGAGAATCATGGACAATCTACAGACATCACATGCAACTTCTGGAACAATTCCATCAGTGTTGCCTCCAAAAAATCCTGAAAATCTCTTGGGAAGACAGGCGGACAAATGTCAGTGTGCTGGAAGAAGCAAAGACCACCAGCATTGAAGTGATGGTCCTCCGCCATCAACTCCACTGGATCGGCACGCTGTCCAAATGCCTGACCACTGTCTCCCAAAGCAGTTGCTCTACTCCAAACTCAAGAATGGAAAACAGAATGTTGGAGGACAGGAAAATAGATTTAAAGATGGACTCAAAACCAATCTTAAAAATTGTGGCATTGACACAGAGAACTGGGAAGCTCTGGCCCTTGAGCACTCTAGCTGGAAGTCAGCTGTGACCAGCAGTGCTGTAGAATTTGAAGAAGCACGGATGGAGGGCGATAGACAGAAATGTGCCAAGAGGAAGCCAACCCCCACCGGGACTGTCTTTCCACTTGAAACCCAATGCCCTCACTGTAGGAGAACATGCTGGTCAAAATTAGGGCTCCACAATCACCTACATACCCACCGCCAGTACATCGAACTTGGAAGACAATCTTACTCGGACAACAAGGGATGGCCTAAGATAAGGATTTGCTCAAAGGTGATGGAAGGTTGCAAAAGAGACCATTGGAGACCATTGGAGACCATCAAAGGGAGACAGAAGGGGAGACAGAAGGGGAGGCCGAAAGGGGCGAGCGGCGGCGCTGGACGAGCTGCGCTTCCCCATCCACGCTGCTCCGACTCACAGTTGCGGCCGACGCCCCCTCCCAACCCGGCCTGGCGCTCCCTCCCAGCGCGATTGCTCGGACCTTACCAGCCCTAGC